CTAAAACAAAGTTTGTGAATTCAGTTAAATAATTGTTAAAATATATCTGTCATTTGTGTGTTTTTAGCTTTCTTCCTGTAAGCTTTTCAAAATTTAAAACATTGGTGCAGTGGTTTATGTTAAAATAAACCTTTGGGTTAAGTTGTCGCAAGCAGGTTTTTCTTGGGTTTCTTGTGAATTTGGTCTTAAATTTTTATTATTTCAAGTGGCATTAAAAAGTCTTAAAATGTCTTGAATTTAACTTGCCTCATGCTGTAGGAACCCTGTGATAAAGCAGCTTTAGCTAACTATCAGGCCATAGATCGCCTGTTAAGAGGAGTAAATGTAGTACATTTGATGATGTCATTTTATTTTGAAAAACTCAAAGAATGCTTGTTCTTCTGTTGGTGAGCAATCATGTACCCCATTTACACTACCCTTGAAAAACCGTGCCAAGTCCGGTCCGAGCTCAGTAACTGAGATAAGTTATGGTGTGTAAATGGAAAGCAAACTGATCTGAACCGAGCTAGACACAACCGGACCGAGCTAACTGCAGACCAGTTCCAGAGGTGGGCTCGGCTCGGTTTTTCCCTGGCTCGGTTCTCTGATAACAAGAGCGCATGAGCAGAACGCGTCATCTCCGTCTGGCTGCACATCGCAATTCACACTCCATTCCAGTAGTTGGCGGTAATGCCCCTCCGGAAGTTGCTCGCCAACCAACAAAAAACAGAAGAAAAACAACTATAAACAACAATCGAAATATTCTCCACGCAACATTTTAAATAATGGCTTCAAAAGAGCGTGGTGTGACTTGGGATGACGCTGAGACCGAGGCCGTTATTGCAATTTGGGCCATTTTGATTTGCTTGATTCCCTCCTTCTTCGTCTTCTTCTTCTTGTGTTCTATGGCGGTTGGCAAACTACTTTTGGTGCATTACCGCCACCAACTGCTTGATTTCCTCCTTTAATACAGGCAGTAATACCACAGATCGTCACTAGGAGGCGAGGAGTCGAGGAACGGAGATCTCAGCATGGATCGGTTTTTCAAGGGTAGCGTAAATGGGGTAATAGGGAGCACAGACGGGGGAGAGAGTAAGCTGCTGCTTGTCTTTTCACATCCAGTGTGATCCAACCTGCTGAAATAGGCAAGTCTAAACCATTAGATTGGAACTCCTTAGATCCCGCCGCACGCCCACCGAGGGTTTTGATGTCACATTTAGTCCCGCATCGAACAGTCGGCTGCTGAACAAGACCCAATATGCTGTACCCTTTCAGAATCAAACAAACATCAACTCAATTGTAATCCAACTACACTCCACAAACAATGATAGCCGATAATCTGTCATCAAGTTACAAGTCATAATTTTGGTGTTCTAAAACACATTCTATTATTTTGTTATTCTATTATTTCTATTATTCCTTCCCATAAGATGAAATCTACGTGTCGTAATAATTTACCAAAGCTCAATATTTTTCAATGAAAAAGTGAAAATATCAGAATAAAAATGCATTTTTCATGTGTCTTACTGTTTATGTTCATAATTTTAGATGATTTACTTTTCTACATAATGTGGGCTTATTCAATCAATTTTTTTTTTTTTTCAGAAATCAAACATAAGTTCAATTCTAGTATCTAGAATACTTTGGAAAAGTCTTGTGCGTAAGGTGCATGCGTCACTCTTGTCTTTGCTCAGCTGGAACGCCACAACTCAGTGACTGATCAAAGTTTGATTGACAGATTTTGTTAGCCAGTAAGATAAGCTTTGCAATGCAGTATTGGAAGCGTAGGGGTGGAACTGAACAGATGGTGTTTATTTATGTACTTAAGGACTGAGAGGAGAGTAGAAATTATTGGATATGCACAGAAAATACAAAGACAAAATTCTTGAAGATGAAAAATTGAAATTATATAAAAGAAAGTGCTTAAATGAAAATATATTGAAAGCTACTTATAGAAATATGTTTTTATGGTCAAATTAGTCAAAATTCCAATAATCCAGTTTGGTATTGGATCCGTTGTGCCGAATGGACCTTTTGCTTACAAAAAGGGTCACAGTTTCTTGACTTATGTCTAGAGATCAGAAGTTTTACACAGTTTGAGATAACTATGAATTATACCCCAAGAAAAAAACTTGTTTTTACTTTAAAATTGTTGCAAAATTACCAAACAGAACAGATTGAACTTTTTTTTTCTCTCTGTCCAACAGGCCAACGTTTGTGCACAGATTCCTAATTAAATCCACTATCGAGGAAAGAATGCAAGCAATGCTGAAGACAGCGGAAAAGAGGTGTTTTAAGTTAAAAAAAAAATTGATGGCTTTAAGACATGTTACTGGTTAAAGTACTAATAGAAGTTATTTCTGTTTTATTTGTAGTCACACCAGCACAGCCATGAAGCACTCTGAGGCTGCCGTTCTGACAGTGGCCGACCTGGCCGATCTGTTCACCGAGGACACGGAACCTCTGGAGTGATTGTGCACAGCGATCTGCTCCTGGAGGAAGAGCAGAAAACACAGCTGACTCTTTACACAGCGCCATTTAAAAGTACTCTGAATTTGCACATTCCTTTTTTATATGTCAGCGACTTGAATTGTGAAATGCATTTCCGGAAATTTTTTTTTTAGCCAATAACAAGTGATGTGTTTGCAAAACATATTTAAGGTCAGATTTTAATGTAGGTCAGTTACTGTTCTGATCGTCTCAGCTTTATCTATAGATATATCTATATATCATGTTGCCATTCAGTACATTGAGTTTTAATAGCATATATTGATTTAACATAAATACCTTGTGCATGTGTATATTTATTGCACCTGTATGTTCTATTCAGTGTTCTTTTCATATGAAATTCCATGGTTATAATTATTCCTAAGTGCGCAGTATCACAACTACATGTCTGACTTTTTTTTAACAAACCAAACAGTTTGAGAATAGTTAGACAATTGAGGAAGTTATGGTTATTTCAATACATG